TATATATCTTGAATGTGTGTTTTATTTTCTCTCTATTTTCTTTTCTTCGTACGAAACAAAGTGTAAGGGTAGTCATTAAGCCTTTTTTTTTTTTTTTAGTAAAACACTCATCGAAATAATTTATACTTTGCACTAATTAAAATAGTATAAAAGATCTAAATATTTAATCATATTATTTTATTTGGCAATATATTAAATGTAACTAACCAATCAAATTTTCTAATAGATAAAAATCATAATATTTATTCGATATAACATATTTGTTAAATATAATAATATAATATATTTATTGAAAATATGATATATATATATATATATATATGTACATATTAAAATTTCCATAAAAAAATTATTTGTATTATTATTTAAACAAATTAAATTAAAACATACATATCAAAATAAAGTTAAAATATTTTAGCATATTATTAATATGTTGATAAATATATAATAATTTACTTCATAATTTTTTATATTTAATAAATATAGCATTTAATATTTTTTGGATATTTAATTTTATTACAATATAATAAATTTTAATCATTATTAGAGATCACAAATATTTATAATTTTTTTAGCAAAAACAGTTTTTCTTCTATCAAAAGCATTCTAAAATAATATCTTTATTAAACCATTTATTTATTAAATTTAATAAATATAAAATATTTTAAGACACTATTTTTTTGTTATTAGCTACGTAATTAATAATTAAATTGCATATTATATTTAACAAATACAGTATTAATGTTATGGAATGGTCGAATAGTCAACATTATCTTTTCTGATCTTTTGGAAAAATAGTCACTATTATTATTATTCCAGAAAATACTGCTAATATAATAGAAGAGGAATGATTTGGGATTGTCGGTAGATCTATCTATTTTTCTATTATAATTAATTAAATATTTTTAACAAAAAATATAAGGAGTGAGAACAATTATCTAATAAATATCAATAATTAAATAATATGCATAAAAACATTTTTAATTAATACTAATAAATAAATAAATAAATATATATATATATATTAATTTTTTTTCTTGATATAATTTTTTTTAATTATACTTGTAGTGACTAGTCAGGATAAATGAACATTATAATAACAAATAACTAAAGGTTATTTCACCTTAAGTTTTTTTACTCATTAAAATCCTTAAGGTAAACTTTTAACTACAAATTAATTCAAACTTTATTCTTTATGATCATAGAATAATATTTTATTTTTATAAATGCACGAAGAAATAAGAATAAGATGAGTTTAAGATATCATTAACCAAACTATATTATATAAAAATAATTAAGCTAAATAAGTTTGAGTATTTTTCATTATTTAAAATTTAATAAAGTATAGTTTACATAATTGGAATGTATTAAAGAATATTATAAAATAATTAAACGACATAAACTAGGAACACCTCATTAATTATTAAGAGTAAAAGATATCATACATTAAACAAGTAAATGAGGTTAGAGATACCTTACTAAACAAAAATAATAATATATAAAATTTAAAAGGATAAAGATCTCCTCCCCTTACCTTGGTGTAAAAATAACCAAGTAATTTTTTTTTCACTCCTTCCCCGTACTTGTAGATAAGTATATAATTTTTATCCAAGATTTGTCCAGATAAGGTTTTCAGATAAAAACTATTTAATTACTATTAGTTATATAAAAATATATAGAGCCATGACATGAACCTTTGACATGAAACCTATGGTTCTTATGCAAAACTAAACAAGCCATTGAACCATTCCATTTTTTATGTATATGTTATTATATAATTATAATATATCTAACGTTTTTCACTTGTAATTATAATAATTAAGTTATTATTAAAAAAATTATAAATATTTATAATATAATTGAATATTATACATTTTTTTAGTCTACTGAAAATATAAAATTTTATAAGGTATTGAAAATAACACATCAATATTTATCTATTTATTTTAAATATGGTAACTAAAAATTAAAAAAATATTAAATATAGTAACTAAAAATTTAAAAAAATATTATTTTAAGAATAAGATAATGATAAAAAAAATTTATAATATTGTATTTAAAAGTTTTAGAATATTACAGAAAGATCTCAAATAAGGATACATAAATCAAATATGAATGTTTCTGCTATATTTAATGAGAGTGGTGAGAAGAAATAAATTATTCAAACATTACTTTGGTTATTTTTTAAATTAAACTAAAAATTAAATATTATTTTGTCACATGTCAAAATTTACTTAGAACTAGAATAAAGAATATGTGTCAATGTAATAATTAACTATTGTCTAGTCATAAAATTAATAAAGTTAGTAACTAAATATAATTAGATGACTAATTTGCATAATAAAATTAAAGTTTAGATACCAAAATGCCAAAAAAAAAATTCAAAAAATCTATGAACAATCTCTACCATATTTCAAGAAGCAAATTGAGTATTTATTCTATAATTATATAATATTTTCTCTTACGTTTTAATATTAATAATCCGATTGCATATTATATTTAATAAATATAATATTTAATGTTTTTAGACAATTAATTTTACTCACTCATTAAAAGTTATATTATTATATTAATTATGACACTTATTAAATATAACATATATATTAAATTTAATAAATTTTATTCGGTTTTTAAATGTGAGACATTTTGTATGAATATATTAACACACATATATTTTTAATTTAAGTTTAAATATATTCTTAATTCCTGTAAAACGAACTAATTTTAATTTTATAAAAAATATTTCTTTGTTTTTCATTCTTATAAAATTTAAAACTATTATTTTTAGTTTATGCTATTATATAATTATTTTTACTACTTATTTATTTATTTATTAAAATATTAAGTGATCATTTAAGGTGTTAGCCATAATTATTAGTGATTTATTAGTGATATCATATTAGTTTGTGACACTTCTAATTTTTTTTATAGGTCTTTAAAATAAATATTAATTATCTACATAAAATCATGGTTAGGAATCAATAATAATAATTTTAGATTTTGAAAGGATGAATTTTTTTTATAGAAACCAAAATTAAAAATCACTTATTTTACAAAAAATTATAAATATTTTACCATGACTAAAAATAATGTTTACAAATTTTAGAAAAAAATAATTTTTTTTACAATGACCGGAATCAAAAACTCACTCATTTTTAAATGAATATATTTACTTACATATACTTTTATTAATAAGTTCAAATCACAATAACGACGCGTTTTTTCTCTCTTTAATTAAGATAATATCGGTGTTTTTATTTTATATTAATATTTATATTCTCTTACTAATTTTTTCAGACAACTATATATGTCTTTACCTATTGTGTCAAAAGTCACATTACTAAAATGGTAAAAAAAAATATTTTTGTGTAAAATGAGGAATATATAAATAACATTAAAAATATAATCAACAATGAAATGCTTAATAAATGACTTCAAACAAATATAATATTTTATATATTTCATTTTTTAATCACAATTTCATTAAAAAAATTTGACAATTCGTATTATTAATCTAAACAAAAATTCACATATTATCTTAAAAATATTATTTAGAATGAATCGTTTATAATAATGTATAAATTGAATAAAATTTCATTTTGCACATGCTTTGATCATATTTTTTTATATTCAATTACAATGCAGTAGTATTACATATAGTTAAAGTAGTAACTTAGACCACCAATCTAATGGTTATAATTATTTTTTCTTCTATTTTTACCTAATATACTCTTTCTTGCATACTCCCACTTTTTTTTTAAGTCATGTATACCCTTTGAACTTATATACAAGTAAAAAATATTTAAATATTTTGAATTGAAATATAAATAAATTTTTAACAAAATTAATTTTATTTAATATTCTTAATTTATAAATATTTTTAAGACAATAAATAATAATACTATCTAAAATAAATGTAATTAAAAATATTAAAAAATATAGTATATATTTTATATAAAATTGTGAAAATTAAATATATTTCCTTAATAAGAGTGAAATTGACTTTTGTTTATACTATAAGGGAGTACAAAAGAAGCTAGAGAGACTGAACATAAAGGAAGGCACTATATTTACTTTGTCCATCCACTGCACCACATTGTTAGGCCACTCTCTTCAATACTGAATTGCTGAATATTCAAAGCTGGGTTGGCCTTGGCAAGACCATTAAGTCAACTGAGTTTGGTGAGCCTCTTATTCAACCAAATCCTTCTCTAAAAGTGTCTTCAAAAATGGAATTGGTACCCATTCTTGTTTTTTTAGGCCTTCGGATTTATTATTTGTGAAAGGCTGCTAGCATTTCATAATCACATTTGTATTTATGGCATTTGAAAAAGCCATTGAATAAAGATTGTACCATTTCAAATCTGTACCTCAATATGTTTGACTTTGTATAAACGTTTCCTCTTATGCATTTCAAATCATTGACCAAATCTTGAATGAACATACCAAATGACTATAACATTCCTAAACTGCATACGTTACTCAATTCAGGGATCAGGGTCATGTTGGTCATTGCATCTGAAATGGGAATACAATACACCTAATAGTAACTGCTTACTTCTATTGAAAATTTCAGCGAGCAAACCCAATAGCACAAGACAAAGAAGGACAAAAGTTGCAATGATCATAAAACATAAAACGTACAATAGCTTTGTAGAAACCTCATTGTTATTGTGATCTATGTTCCTCAGCATTCATGGCTTTGAATGTGATGCTTCTTCTTATTCTGAGCCTTGTTTTACAAGGTTTTGTAATACCAACCTGTCATAGCCAGACCAATACACCTCAGAACATTGAAACTTTCTATCCAACCCAAACTTCTGAACCAACCCTCACAACTCAACCTCCTGAGCTACCACCATCACCAGGACCAGTGGCTGCAACACAAACTTCTTCCTCATCATCCAGTAGAAAGGTAGCAAAAGCTGTGGCTGCAACTGCAGCAGGTACTGTAGTTCTTTCTGGTATGATTTTCCTCTTGGTTCAAAGGTGCTTCAGAGCAAGGAGGAGAAAGAAGGTGACAAACACTGCTTCTGCTGCAGAAAGGCGTGTGGTGCCTCAGGTACACGTGTTTGAGAGAATGGAGGGACATGTCAAGGGATTGATTGTTGATGAGGATGGTTTGGATGTGGTTTATTGGAGAAAGCTTGAAGGTAAAAACACAACAGACAAGGATTTCCAAAGGGGGGTCTTGCATAGCCCCAAAGACAAAGAAGAATATGATCATGGGAAAAGATCTGAGTCCATTCAAGAAATTTCTCTCCTTAGAGAGAGACCTTCATCTTCCCACATGAATATATTTCCTCCAGAAGATTCATATACAATCATGAGTATTCCACCACCTGCTCCTCCTATATTTCCTCCAGAAGAGTCACCATATACAATCATGAGAATTCCACCTCCTGCTCCTCCTCCTAATGTTCCTTCATCATTTGGAAGCTCTTCTACAAAATCATTTTCTCCACCTTTTTCCCCTTCATCACCAAAACCATTCTCCAATTCTTTCTCATCAATTCCAAAAATGACAAATCCTTCACCACCTCAAACAACTCCTGATAAAAAGAATCAATTACCAACACCAACACCACCACCACCAATTCTTGGTGGAAAAAGCTCATCACCACCACCAATCCTTGGTGGAAAAAGCTCATCACCACCACCACCTCCACCCCCACCAATCCAAGGTGAAAAAAGCTCAGCAGCAGCAGCAGCA